AGCGGCACCGCCTGCTCCTACCGCCCCGTCCTACCGCCCCGGAGGGACCTGCCGCCCCTGGGGACAGCGCCCGGGGCTGCCCCACACACACACCGTCCTGTGCCGCCTCTGCCATGGGCAGCGACACCTCCCACCAGAACAGGTTGCTCCAAGTCCCATCCAACCTGGCCTGGAACACTCCCAGGGATGGAGCAGCCACAGTTTCTCTGGGCAACCTGTGCCAGTGCCTCACCATTCTCACAGAGAACAATTCCTTCCTAACATCCCATCTACCCCTTCCATCTGGCAGTGGGAAGCCGTTCCCTGTGTCCTGTCCCTCCAAGCCCTTGTCCCAAGTCCCTCTGCAGCTCTCTTGAAGCCCCTTTACGCACTGGCTATATTGCCACTTAATTTTGCATCAGCTTATCTTAAAACTGCAAACTTGCCCACAGATGATCTGCCCCTACAGCTGCTTATCTGAATTCGGAAGGTTTGATTTTCATGGACTAATGGAATGGTTTGGGTTGGAATAGACCTTAAAGCTTATCCATTTCCACCTCCTGCCATGGGCAGGGACACCTTCCACTAGCCCAGGTTGCTCCAAGCCCCATCCAGCCTGGCCTGGAACATTCCCAGGGATGGAGCAGCCACAGCTTCACTGGACAACCTGTGCCAGTGCCTCATTGTGAAAAACTTCTTCCTGAAATCTAATCTCAACCAATCCCCTCACAGTTGAAACCATTCCCTCTTCTCCTCAGGGAAGTGTTTGCAGTCCCAAGCCTGACAGAGCTCAAGGAGTGTTTGGACAATGCTCTCAGGCACATGGTGTGATTCTCAGAGATGTCCCGTGCATGTCAGGAGTTGGGCTAGATGATCCTCAAGGGTCCCTTCCAGCTCTGATTCTGTGATTCTTCTATCACAACAGGCTCTGGTAGTGTGTTCCCCACAGGCTGCTCGGAGCAGCCCCGTGCCCGCCATGGCTGGGTGGGCTTTGAGGAAGGTCAGTGTTGTTTATGACAACCATTTGCCTGACATGCCACACCAGCAATAAAACCCTGTGCAGTGCTGAAGGTATTTTCTTGGGCCATTTGGAGGACAGGTCTCTCACTCCCTGTGCTTTTGAAGACGTATCACTCAGCATGTTCAGAGTTGCAGGGCAAAGGCAGAAGAGCTGAACAGTTTAACTGTCCTCATTCCTAATCACAGCACTGCAGCCTCTGCTGGAAATGCTCTGCTGTGGCTGAAGGGAGGGATGGAGCTCTTTAGAAGCAGCGTGGGGGGTTTATGTAACAGAGAAAAGTGCTGCTTCTCTCCCAACCTCCCAGTCAGTTCCTCCAGGTTCTGCAGAGCTATTTGTCTTCTGCTTCTGTTACTGTTTCTCCAATGGCCAGGCCTCCCACGGAGACAGGATCTGCAACCTCTCAAGCCCTGCACAGATGGAAAGCGCAGCTTTGAACTGAATTGGTTTTTTTCTGAGGGGGGAGGGTGTGCTGGTGGGGTTTTTTTTAACAGATAAGCCCTGGACGATAAGGAAAACAGCATTAACAATTACAGGAGCTGACCCTTGTGAAATCATTTGTCACTGCAATCCCAAATCCCTGTGAGGGAACAACACACTTGGTTCACAAACACCCACACGTCACCTCTGCCTGCTAGAAATGTTAGCATGTGTTTTCCTGAGGCTTTTCTCTCAGCTTTACAGTGGATTTCTGTGATAAATACTTCTGTGACTCATCTACAAAGCAGAAGTGCAAAGTCCAGAATTATATTTAATTATGACAGGGGGAAAATTCGTAATTGTAGGATTATGCCCAGATTGGAAAAGCTCTTTTTGCTTTCTGAATGTAAGAAGAACACTAATAACACTAATAAAAACACTAACACTAATAACAACAATACCACTAATAATAATAGCACAAATAATGACGATAGTAACAATCATCATCATCATCCCCATGAGAAGTGAATTATTACTGAGCCTGAAGTTGTAGTTTGGGGTTAAAACTCATCTTTAAGTTTTGCTTTGGTATTTCATGGCTCACTGCTCCCTGTGCCCTGCAAACACCAACCTCACCCCTGAGAGGACCAGGAGCAAAAGGACTAACATCTATTCTTACCCAAGAAGCTGCTTTTTTTACAATCCCAGGAGTCACAATTTCACCCTGAAGTCAGCAGAGAAAATGCTGATGTAGCACTAATTGTCAAAAGTGCTCAGCTATTAAGGCTCTTTGCACCTCACTCTTCTCCCCAGTGCTTCCCTGGCATGGAATCACACAGAAAGAAGGAAAATCTGTAAAGCACTTCATTTAAAATAAATATTGAGACTGTAGGAGGTTAAACAAGGGTCGAGTGGTTAGTATATAAAACTTGTAACAATGAGCTTAAGAAATTCCATCTTTATTCTGAAAATAAGTAGAAAATAAATAGTAACACACTCATACATGTAACATTTGTGTCAAAAATAAACCAAGGCTTTAAGTTCTCAGCACAGTTTGGTCCTCCTTTGCAAATTTCATCTTGAAGGTTTATTTTCATCTAATTTTTGATATTTATAGAACCATCAGAAAGAAACAACACGTTTTTCCTCTTCAAGCAGAAGTTGTCTCATAAAATGTGGATTATTGGCATTGATTTCTATTCTTTGACATACAAAGTGACTTTTTTTTCCCCAAGGAACTTATTTCTTACAACCTTATCAGCTTTCTAAGATCAGTCATAACAAATTACCTGTTACACTGGCAACAATGCAACCCATCATTCAAGATGAATGATTTCTAAAACACAAATTACTCACAAAAATAATGCAAGAATAGAAGTCAAACAAAAACCTCATGTGTAAACACATCCCAGGAGCTTTGTGAAGGACTGAAAGGGAGTTTCTAACCAGTGTGGGCTACACAGCAGTGACATCTAACAGGTGTCTGGGGCTGTGTGCTGTGACTTGACACTCTGCACCTCTGAAACCTGCACTCTTGGCTGCTTTCCCTGGTTAGCACAGGTTGTAGGTGTTTAACAGGTGGGAAACAGGACAAGTAATTCAGGACATTATTGTGGACCAGTTTGGCATCAGAACATTTTCATTGTGGCGTGCACAGTGCTACTAAATTTCAATCCCACCTGGGATATATTCTACATAACCCATTCACTGTGGGTTATATGGAACATATAACCCATTAACTCTGTGTTTTGTATTCTGTACAAGACATGAACTGCGGGATTTATGTTCTACATAAGTTATTCACTGTGGGTTATATATTCTATGTGATCCATTCCCTCTGGCTTATATATTCTATATGACCCCGTGGGTTATGTATCTTACATAAGCAAACAACTGTGGTGTTTATATCCTACATAACCCACCCAGTGTGGGGTTTCTGTCCAAAACAGGGACCCCCATCACCATGGCACTGATGTGTCACAAACACACACTGTACACAAAGCACATAGCACAGGGAACTGCACTCCTCCACCTTTTTACCGGTCCATGGAGCTTCTGAACCAGCTCACCAATTGTTTCAGCCTCTGCACCAACTTCATGCTGCTTATATGACTTCGGAGTCTTTCAGAGTAGGTTTCTTCTTTCCATATGCCTTTATTCTTCTTCAAGGCCTTTAGCTCAGCCCGAAGGAGCCTCTTGTGAAGCTTCCAGTACAGGTGGGAATGGTGGGGCAGCCCCTCAATCCGTGCAGCTCTGCCAAGCCCTTGGCTCAGCAGCTCTTCGTTTAAGCACATGCTGAGAAATCCTCCCTGTAAAAAGGCACAATAAATACAATATTCACTGTTAAAACAGGGTTAGTTGGGGTTTTCTGTGAACTCCCTCAGAGGTACAAGCTTTACTCAAGCAGAAGTTAAAAGTGAAGAGGAATCTAAATGGCTGTAAAACCCAACTCTGATGTGAGGGTGATGAGGCACAGGTTGCCCAGAGAAGCTGTGGCTGCTCCAGCCCTGGAAGTGTTCCAGGCCAGGTTGGATGGGGCTTGGAGCAACCTGAGCTGGTGGAAGGGGTCCCTGCCAATGGCAGAGGGTGGAATGGAATAAGCTTTAAGGTCCTTCCAACCCAAACCAGGTTGGGGATTTTATGATTCTATAATGCAGGAACATAAAACAGCATAACCAGTAGGCTAATCATAACTATAGGATGTAGCCTGGCACTGTCTGACAGATAAATACACTCCTGTCATGAACCAGTCTGAAAAAAATACAGATCTTGAAACCAGATTGGCAAATACAACATTTAAAATTCATATCAAGACAGATGAATCTTAAATAACAACACTTCTTAAATGAACAAAGATGTCTGAATTGTATGACTACAGTCAGAACTGCACATAAAAGTCCTTTTTTTTTTGGCTCTCTTTACCTTGTTTACTAACACCAGGCACTCCAGGGCTGAACCCTCCCTCCCCAGGAGCTGGAACCAGAGGTGCTGCCTAGGGCTAAGCTCTTTCTGCAGCCAGGCCATGCCATTTGGGGCCAGCTCCACTCCAGCCAGCCGCACCAGCAGGAGTCCCTCGGGCTGCCCTGAGGAAAGAGAAAGGGAGATTAGGTGCTGAGGGAAAGTTCAGGCTTTTCACAGACCCTCAGCAACTGCTGGTGAGGAATTCATTCCCATAGATGTAAAGAATCCATTCTAGTTCCCCAAGCACTACTTATTCACAAACAATGAATTAGGTCTCATTTCTCTTAATTAAAAAGAATCAAAATTCAAGATTACCTAAGTGTTTTTAGCTGGCTTATTTTGCATACAAAGAAGAATAAGTACTCCCATTATCAGTCATTATCATTTACCTGCAGGGGCGGAAGCATTAGCACCTGCCAGTGTTTGCCAAGGCAGAGTGTGACTCATGGACTTGACATTTCTGACAGAAAAGCTGTCCCCCCAAAACAGGTGTCCATAAGTAAAAGTACAATCCCTACAGTCTTTTTGCCAGGAGTGAGATGAGCTGTGCAAGCAGAGGCACTGCCTGTGTACTTGCTCCTGACACAAACACTGTATTGACCAGTTTTCCATTACAGGTCTCCTTGTGTCATTTATTCCCCAGTTTCCCATCTCTAAAGCATGGAAAGACCAAAAGGTAGAGCTAGACATGTCCCTCAGCCCTTCCTCTCCAGCTTTGAGAGCAGAATATTTTATTCCTGCCCTTGCTCTTCACATTCTTTCACTGGTTACTTACATCTCCTCTGTATGGCTGTGATGAACGGA